TTTCCTTGGACATACAATGTACCAATGCAGGGATTTGTTAAGTCCTTGGCTGTGTTTGAGTTTGTGTTTTCTGTTAAAAGCTTTATGAAGTTGAAAGGAGGGGCTGTTAGCATCAATCTTTGTCCAAGATTTAGTGAACTTCAGTTTCTGTGAAATCTATACCCCTAGGTTTTTTTTCACTAATAATAAAAGCCAAGGAAACGTTTCTTTAGATTCTTATGTAAAACTCAACAGCCTTAAATTGTCTTGCATAAGCATACTGACGTAAAGGGCCTCTTTGAAGTTTCTGAATGCAAAGTAAAGGATGTACACGTATTTTAGATGCCGTATTTTGAATGTCGCTGTAAATGACAGGCTACAGCACTATTGAAGCCTGAGGCCTTTGAACTGATAAGGTAGGAATCCCACAAGTGCTCCCCTTTTAATCTATGCCTTTGGAATTTGGCACTGGCTAGATACCGGGAATTATTCCGAACATTGCCAAAGCATTTTAACTGTAGAAGTAGAAGGTCTCTTGAGCCTCAAAGTATGTGATATAACATGTTATTATGATTCAAGGCCAGGCTTTGCAATGTATTTCAGAATTTTTCACTGCATCAGAGTTTTTTTGAGGTCAAAATAACATAAAAAGGTTTGGATCAGCACTGGGTAACCATTGATGATCGAATATTCATTTCAATGTACAAAATGTATACATTGCTCCCACAAAAATAAATAACGTCAAGCTATAACTAGTATAAGACCGTTTTGAAGCTGAAAACGTAACCTTAGTGTTGGTAAGCCCAGTAAAGGCTTCACTTTAACTTTTTTCAAAAGCAGTTTGGAATCAAGTTAGGATAATCTAATTGATCTGTCCGGAAGGAAAGTGGCCAGATTGCTAGAGGTCGTGACATAAGTGAAACATCGACACTCGTGTTTGTTTGAGTTTCCACCAGGTTGGGAAAGTTTGTTTTGAGACCAGACCTTCCCTGTTAGTCCGGAGTCACAGGTTTGTTCTAACAGTTTGGGAACAGTTAAGCCACATTTCAGGTGAGAGAAACCATCTGGTTATACTATGATGTTATAAGTACATACTTCAACCAAAGATGAATTTGGTGCATTCCTGACGTAGAAAGACTACTTATTAACAGCTTGTTTTGTATATCTGCCTTTCGGTTACAGTAATTTTTCTAGTTTCTTGTACTTTTGACAGGTTCGTTCTAGTTTAGAAATAAAAATTTTCTTTTTGTCTGTCATTCTATATATAACTGACGTAGAAAATAGAATCTTCTATCCCCCACCCCCATATCAACTTTGGAATGGAATGATCCTTATCTTTCCAGATAGCCTGTATAGGCCAAAGGTTACATGCTTTTGTGGTATTTTAAGTGCTCTCATGATGTCCATTAATTGAGGTCTCATTTTCAAGTATGTTGCTAGATATTTGCACTTTATAGAAACACTGTGCCTCGATTATCAAAGGTGCTGTATGTGAAACAATTAATAGTTTAGTTTTATTTTTAGTAGCAAGATAATTTACAAGTTGAAAATTTATGGGAATCATTGACAATCCTTCCATACTTCCATATTAGGACTTGCTCCAAACATTGATGCCCTGGTGCTCATTAGTACACAAGAGTAATGACCTGGCATGTCAGAGGTCACAAGGTCATGACCTTATGATGACCCCCTGATAACTGTTGTGTGTTTAGCTGGTCCTGGGTTGGACAGGGTACATAGAATGTGTAAACACAGCTAATTATGTGGTTCTTGGGAAATTAACAGAAATTTTTACTGATAGTATATTTGTGAGGCAAAAATGTGATGTTACGGACAGAAAATGGTTGCTCGTTTTGCACCATAGCCTGGATCTAGCTATTTGTTGGTGGTACCAAAAAAAAGGGACTCTGTCTTCTTTTTCTTGTGTACATAGCTTGTTTTGGGACTCTTCTAAACTCTTCAAGTCCAAGAGCTGATTGTGTCTTGTAGCCACCAGAAGATCTGCTTGGATGTAGGAGATTTCCAATTTCTGACTTTAAGAAAAATAAAACGCATTCATTCCTTTATTCTTGTCTTCTTGAAAATGTTCAAGACTGTCACAAACATTTCATGACTTTAAAGAAATTAAAGTTTAAGCGTTGGAATGTCACGGTTACAACAGGACTACAAAAAGAAAGAGAGAAATGAAGTAGAAAAGTGTGACTATTGGAGATCGGAATAAGCCAAACCAAACCATTCCTTAATAACTTTCTTCTTCTTGAAAATGTTCTTCAAGACTGTCACAAACATCTCATGATCTTCAGCATGGGAATGTCACGGTTACAACAACACTACAAAAAGAAAGAGAGAAATGAAGTAGAAAAGCGTGACTGTACGACAGAGGCACTTAGTGTTTGTCACGGCCTGCGCCACACATGACACTGGCGCCAAAAGAAGGGCCAAAGGTCATGTTCATGGGTCAGTTTTGGGAATGGAAAGAAAATCCTTGTTATGTGACAACCCAGCGTGAGCATTTCATGGTGCATATTACTTCTGTATAGCCAAACAAGACCTGAATATTGCTCATACCTGTGTCTATAGATTTTGCATGCGGCGGTCTTTGTTTGGCATTTGTCGCTGAGTTTATTAAAAAATTACTAGAAGGAGTCATTGTATTAAAAGAAATCATTGCCAAGCCATCATATTCAATGGCAAAAGTACATCTATCAATGTCATTTTATATAAGTACAATATAGTAAATTTTGGGTCTAAATATATCTGAGGTTAGGTGTATGTAATTATGATGTCTAGAGGGGAATTTGAAGAAAATAAGTCACAAGATGGATGTTTTATGGTATGATAATTAAAAGAGACGTTTGCCCATATATATTACTATATTAAAGTACTACATAGTGAGTATACATTTAAGGTTATGTGTAATTGAAATGTCAAAAGGAGAGGTTGTGTTGGATGTTGACATTAGAATAAATTGCTTTACTGCTTAATATTATTTGCCTTAGTATGAAAAGAAGTGCTCCTTCATATATTTAATATTGGCTTGTATGAAAAGGACATTTACATTGTACATTAATTGTTGGGTGTACATAACAATATTAGAGGAAATGATTTTTTGTGCACAGTGTATTCCGCTAGAAATGAACCATAAGTTGGATTGGCAAGTGTCAATGCCTACATGTTCATATTTGGAAGGATATATGACAAAAATGATTGAAATACATTGTAGGTAGACTCTATACTCTATAACTGTTAGTTTACAAACATAGATTTGTATATTCCAAGTCATTATGAACTTCAGACTGTTAGCATTGCAAAGGATGCAGATTTCAAAGTGATTATGTATATTTGTGTGAGAACCGTGCAGTGCACAGGTCACATGCATACCCTGGTCAGCATACAATCTCAAGCTTTGGGCTGCATGGTACATTCCACACTACAAAAGCCAGGCATTCCTACACACAGTTCTTGTTCTTTACAGAACCACTGAAAGGCAACCTATAATTTGGTTCAGTTCCTGTGAATTCACTCTTTCAGAGTGTTTCAAAAGTCGAACAGAAGGTACAACACTGTAACCAGATGTTATTCCAAAAACACTTGTTTTTAGGGCACTAAGGAATGTGGAACATGTGTTGTTTTATCATGCAGATAATTTTTAGGGGCTGAAAAAGTAGATTTCTCTGGTTTCATGAAAAAACTATCCCAACTTGCAAGGGTGACATAAGGGGGAAACTTGTATGTACTTACAACATTCAGTTGATCATGTCATTCATGGTGTGAATTTCTATTTTCATACAAAATAAGTTCTAGACAAGCCATGGAGACAAAGGAAAACATAGTGAACACAATTCCACAGTCTTTGTTAGTGGTGGCAAAGAAACTAACTGCTTTACAGAAATTCTAAAAATATGGAAATATCTCATAGCATCTCTCAGGTGTTGACAGGTTATAAGAAGGTACTCGTCCAGGAGCCAAAAGGGCAACTTTTCTTCTGTTTTGTTTGCAAGAAAGTTCGACCTTTCCTTTACCTAATCCCTTGAGAACACTTGAGCCCTTGTTTCCACTCTCCAACCTTCCTCCTAGCAGTTAAGACAGGACAGGTAACTATGCCATGCACCTGAAAGAACCCTGCATTCTCCACATACCTCAGCAGCAGTGGTGGTGGAACCACCTACTAAAATTACACAAAAGAGCTCTGACATTTTTGCAAACTTGCTGAGTAAATAGAAACACAAATGGCCAGAGAGAGAAGCAACCTTCTCAATAATTAAGACACAGATTTTATAGGATTGTAGATGAGCAAATTTTATTACCTGCATAATTGATAATGATAAAATATTGAAGAGAAAGACAATCAAACTGACCAATAAATTTTTATTAACTTTTTTTGTACATGTAACTGTTTGTTTATCAAGTTAGCAACTAATATTAGTAGATCCGAAGTATATAGCAAAGTCAATAGAATCACTCGTGCTTGGTAAATTTACCTACTTAGAAAGGCGATTTGCTTTTCTAAAACAGTATTAGCTCAGTTTCTACCTTGGTGGTTTTAGAGAAAGCAGTAGAGCTCTGGTGACTACTGTAAGGTGTGTGACTTTCTGCCAGTGAGAAAGATTACTTCAACAGTATGTATACATGGGATAACCACATTCTGCCCTCAAGCACAAAATGTGAGATCTTTGCCAGTTTACACAATGTCAATACTACTGCTAGTATCTTCAAACATGTTATTTAATTCCAGTTTGCTGTTCGCAGCTCTTAAGATGATTACCAGAACTTGAGCTGAGATCAGGCTATAATAAGTTCATTCATTGGTTATTTGATATATCTTATAATTATGGAATATATATTATTTAAATTCATTAATTTTGGGACTGTTAGTAAGATAGGCACTAGTATATGTACTTAGTGTGTCCTTGTATTAGGTAAATTCAACCCATATTTTCAGCTAAATATTGAAAATAACCTTACAACAGGATGTACCCAACTACATTATAACACAAGTTTCTTCTTGTTGTTGTTTCCAGTCGTCAGACTACTGGATCCATGTGAAGAACCTTGAGAGCGATGAAGGAGGGATCCTCGACGCTGACGACCAACTGTGCGATGTGGCGGACGACAGAGAAAAGGTGAGTCAAACCATTGTTTGAGTGAGAGGATCAAATACAGGAGATAATGGTTCTTGTAACACAACCTATTTTAAGACAATTGCCTGGATGATGTTTCAGTAGCTCTTCAGTTACCTTCCCCAAGGTCTTAGAAGTTACATTTTTCATAGAATCAAAGTGTGTGTGTGTATGTCCATATCTCTTTCAAAGCGATATGGACAAACACACACAAACACAATCACCCACACACTCATAGTTTATACACTGTACACACACACACACACACACACACACACACACACACACACACAAAGGCATGCACGTGCACACGCGCATGCACACATGCGCACACATACATGCACACACACACGCACACATGCACGCACACACACACACTCACATACGCACACACACACACACACACACTCACACACACACACACACACACACACACACACACACACACACACACACACACAAACACAAACACTCACACACACACACACTGGTTAGACTTTCACAAGGCTAACATAGTTGTACACAAACCCTGATACTGACATCCCCTGGCCCTCCCTCCCCAGACATGAGACCAGAGTTACACAGTGCCTGCATGTTTAGAGTGAAACATGTGGCCTGGATTCCTGACTCTGCTCGGGAACATCTTGTTTTTCACCTCCTGACAAAGACAGCCCTGTTTTCTTCAGGCTACTCAAGGACCCTGCTATTTGGACAGTCAATACTTGGGGAAGTCAAACCAGGGATAATCTTAGAAGTTAGAACATGGGTGTTAGACTCACGTTCTCAAAGGACTTTTGAAGGGGAAAAATGGTGTAACTCTTGTTTATCATCAATTCAATATAGCTTAGTTGAATTAAGGACCAAATAGCTTAGTTGTTGCAGGTTTTCAAGGCGGTTGTGTCTAGTTTTAATAGTGTCTTCATGCCTTTTTCTGTGAGGGGTAGAAGCCATTTTGATTCACCATGAAACCCTAGCCGGTCGCTTTAATTCAATGTCAGGGTCATAGTGGGTCACTTTAATTTACCAGGCCTACCTGAATTTACAAGCATTGTTGGCCCTCCTAAATTAAGTGTCCAGGATCCCCCCATACAGATCCACAGAGAAGTCCTGACCTAATCCCCCATGCAGACCCTCAGACAAGTCCTGACCTAAGAATACCACCCAGACACAAGTTGTAACTGGCCTTGACACGCCTCCTACTTACCCCATCTGTTATCAGTGTTATCTGTGTTATGTTAGTTCTAATTTGGGAAGGTAAACTTAATGTTTCAAGGCCACAAATCTTTTGTTTGCCCCTTATTGTACCAAACAAAAACAAACAGGTTAGGATTGTTTTTGAGGGTCTGGTTTCCTGTCCTACATGTAATTGCCTGTCCAAATTTCTGAATTTGAAAACTTTGAAACTTTATTAGAACTTGATTGATTGAACAGGTCTTCGTCATAATTTGCAACGTCTTTTTAATTTTTAAACCAGTATGCATAAGCTCCAGGCCTCAACGTAGCAACTAACCAAACTTACATGTACCATAATTTACTACATTTATATGCAAGGTATATTTTCTGTATTTTAAACATTATACAGTCAGATGTGATTTTAAAAAAATGTTTCTAACTCTGCCAGCACAGGTGCACTTTGTACAACATCTTGTTGACAGAAGATGTGGGTGGTATAGCATGCATGTGTGACAAAATGTTCCACCCCAGTGTTTTCAATGCAAACAAAACTTGACTTTAAAGCAACTAAAGATTCTTTGCAGGCTTCAGGCCCAGAGGAGTATAGCAGAGAAGACAAGAAAGGTTCTGGAAAAAAATTAGATTCAAAGTTCCTAAAATTTGCTGCCACATGTCTGCTACATTTAGCCCTTAGATCTGATTGTGGAACACTTGTATGTTTACTGTTATAGTTACAGAGACCAAAGGTCAGTACCTGACATATTTGTACACTGAGAACACAATACAGCACTATCAGTCAGGTGTGAAGGTTTGTGAGTAAAGGGTAGTATGTACATGGTAGTCGTGTTTCACAGTGTTTATAGCAAAACAGCGGTTACACCTTGTTTTTCTCAAAACTTTCAAGGAGTGAAACTACATGATACTGATGATATCACAATATCAAAACCAAGGGATCATACTCCAATTATGCCTAAGATCCTATATATACACACGTAGGCAAAAACTTGACATATGAAAACTGTGTATGCGAACACAAGCGTGTGAAAACTATATTATGGAGTTTTGAAACATCATGACTTCTGATAAAACAAGAGATGAAAACATCACCGAACGCAATCAATCCTACAACTTACAAGCAACCATCTCTACATACCTGTCATGCTCACTAGTGCATGTACAGGAGCCCACAGTTAGTATTCTAGTGTTGTACATATGTTCTAAATCTGTTCGTAAGGCTGGGACAGAGTGTAGGCTTAATCTGGATTTAGTTTTAAGTTATCCTCAATTAGCTTGGATACAACAGTTTGACCCTCTTTTGAACATTTAGGGCATTCTTCAACTTTCAACCCACAAATGCAATATTAGGAGAACCTCATCGTAAACTAAGATGCAGATTTTGTAAATTTTTGTTTGCTCCTTACCCAAGAAAATAGTTTCTACTTGAAAACTTTAACTTTAAGTTAGACATAAGTTTTTGACACAGTCTGATTTTACCTTTAATTTAGATGATTCTATATCTGATAAAGTTTTTAACCTAAATGAAAATCCTAGCTTCATATAAACTTTAACATTTAACTTCAATGCATCTCAAATGTCTCAATTACACAAATACCAAAATATTATTGATTAATTGCTTCATGATATTGCAATACAACTGATTTGATGCAGATATGATTTTACAGGCCACTTTGACCAATGTTTTGTTTCGTTTGCCTGGATGTTTTTTTAGCACATAGAGAACACAGAAAGACAGTGCATACCTGTCCCTACATTAGCCTTGGGTTATTTAGTTTGTTGGTACAAGACGTGTTGTTTTTGTCCCCCATGGCGGCTATGTAAGAACATGTGGTGGGGTCGTGTATTGTGTAGGCCACGCTCCACCTAAACTAAGGCTAGAGCGTGCCTCATATCCAAACACTGCGGTATCTACCGCCTATTTGTAAAATGATCTGTCTTGCTTATGTTGAATGGCAATGGTAGAGTACGTGACAATGTTGTATACTTGTAAAAATCATTTGAATTCTTTAGTAAGCTGCTTGCGAGCCACCTACAGTATAAGAGAAATGCTGTACAACAGCTATGGAGACTGTTCCAAACTTTCAAGATACGAGTGTCTTTTTGTTATTCTACATTACCTATAAAAACTGCTATGTACACTAAAAACAACATGCATCATACCACACATATTACTAGACGACATGCCAAACTACATATGAAGGCATCAATTCAAGGGATTGTGAGTTACAGCCACAAATTTATGGACACAACTAAACATAATACTCCTTTTGGAGGTCACTGACCTGCTTCATGGAGCAATACCAGAATGAAAAAACAATAAGTTACGTATAGCATTTAGTCTTGTCACGTGTTACAATACAAACTTACAGCACTGAATTTAAAATTCTACTGCAATTAACATCCAGGAATAACGTAATATGGAGGTTGCCTAATCATATTTAGTGTCATTTGAAACTTGAAACTGCCATTTGAGACTGTCATTAGTGTCACTTACTAAACATAAAAGAGACATGTTAGTTAAAGCACAGTACATATACTTACAAATTACACAACATACATATATAGCATACATACAGTGGATACATAAACATTTAGTAGTTGATCTTTCTAAGGCAACAAGAAGCTTTCAACTACATCATAAGGGTTGACATATTTCCTGTCACTAGGAGTTAAACAGGCTTAAAAACCATGACAAACCTCCCAATGGTTAAGTTTTTGTTACTGTTATCTCAACACATGACTAGGTTCCATCCATTGTAAGACCTCTCCATCTAAATGGTACATTAGGCGGTTAAGTGTTTTCTCATTCAACAACCCTGCCAGCACTAACTACACGTGTATCAAACACCCTCTAACCTGTTGTCAAGTTACCTGGCCACCTGGTCAGGTATTGTATTCTGCTCAGGTATACAGGAGCATCATTTATCAATCCAGACAGCTGAAACAGTGTAGATTTCTTCTTACTGGCATTTCGAGATGCTTGAGTTGGCTTTCTGGTTGTCTGTATTCTTTTCACGTATATTGAGAGACAGTTCGCAATGGATGTGTTATTTTCTCAGTAAGGTAATACCAGTGATTTGTGTGTGCGATGTCATGGATATAGGGTTTAGCTGCATTCAACATTGTCCTGTTAGGGTAAGAAAAAGACAGTTCTCTGTGAGGACTGTGAGAATTGGTTGTGTAGAAATTTCGACACTAGACTAGAGTATTTTGTACTCTAGTGTCTTATAAGCCCATACAGACTGGGTGCATAAACTGATAAAGCACAAGACACATTCATTCCAGATTTCTAAACAATGCTGTAAAATTGCAGTGAAGCATAGAAAAAGTTTGTAGTCACTGTACAAAAGGTATCATTGAGAGGTTCAATTTGCACAATGTTATAAAACAAAATCCATGGATCTATACATGCCATTACCCCTTTGTTGTATACATGTAGATGATGTTCTTATGTTCTGTTACTAGTGTTAGCCAGTTATTGGTACAAGTAGGCGTCATCAATACAGCTTGAACACACTAGTTCCACCATGCAAACCATGATAAATCTAACCACTATAATTGTCTTTCCCTGCCCTCCAGTTGATAGCCAACTATGATGAACAGGATGCCCCTCCCGTGCCACATAACGGTGGAGACGGCACCAGTGCGAGTTCCGTCGGCACAGAGAGTCCTGACATCTTCCAGGGTGACCACGACAGGGGCAGCTTCACACACTATGAGGATGAGGGGGTGGACGTGTCAAATGCCATGCTCAAGAAAAGTAAACAATTTCTTTATCAACAAGTTCTTAACTTTAACTTCCAGCTCAAAGGAATGTTGGCTTTTGAAAAATATTTATTTTAAAGTTTAAACCAGTTAATTGACAGAACAGAACAGAACGCAGTCTGTCTCTTTGTCATCCCGGTAAGATCTCATTTTGGAGTTCTCTTGTTGATAATCACGTGACAAGAGACAGTCATAAAAAATACAGGCTTTAGCTAGGTAGTGATGCCCCCTGTCCTTGTCCAAGGTACTGCGTTTTCTTAATCAAATTCTCAACTGTTTAACTCCACTCTTCGTGAAGGAAAAGTTTGAATTTCTATTTGTTGGGAGTGAAAGTCCAAGGTAAGATCCAAGTATAGTAGTCATGAAAACTAACAACGGTTCTGTCTCTCCCAGACACCCCCCTTATCGTACGCAGAGGCAGCGAGCCGTCCCTGCCCACCATCATCTCCCCGATCTCCCACTCGGACGGCAGCAAGTCTGAGGACAGCATCCTGCAGGAGCACAACCTGCAGAGCAACAAGCGCTGGTCCACGGCAGCCATCATGGACGACGTCGGCAACCAGAGCGGCGGCGATCCCGTCGCTAACAGCACTCTCATCGTACGTCTGTGTTCTTGTCTGTGCTTTTTATGTTATTCACATATGTTTATTGAGTATCAGGCAAAAAGCACAGCTTGCTTATGTGACGCCTCTTACTCTTGTCTGTGCTTTGCTTGTGGCATTACTTTAAAAATCTTTAAACTTGAAAACTTGGGAATTGCTCTTATATATTTGTCTGAATTTGTTTATGCTTCATTGATAGTTTAGTTTACGAAATATCTTTTGAATGGATGAAGAAAAAAATATGCAAGTAGAAGTATAAATACTTACTTGTAATTGACAACAAAAGTTGAGTGAGCAAAAATTTTTACCTTTTTGGAAAGTATTGCAATTGTGTTTTGCTGATATTAGTGATAAGTCATTTTTCGTCCGTAACGTTGTTTCATGCATCAACAACAATACCTCTAAAACAAGCACCCTTAACCCTTTCATGTACAATGTATATAATATTTGTGTCCTGTAACGGCATAATAACTGTTTGCTCCACGTTTCCGCGTTCCCAGCCCCACTTCTTAACTTTAAAGGACAACATTATCCTAACAAACTAACACAGTACTGAGGCAGCCACACGGGATCCAAGGTACCTCACATGCCCTGCTGGAATGTGGAAAATGTCTCACAGTGTCAGTCAACTTCAACTTTTATGAAAAAAAGACAGTAACTTTCCTCTCAACTTCTTGGAGAAATGTAGAAGTACTAATGCGTGAAGGTGAAAGGGACAGTAGGTTTCTAATGAAGCATCGGTGTAGTTTTGACATCTTAGCACTAAAAGTGCACTTTTGGTCACACTTTAAATATTTAACTTTCAACTACATTTTTCTCACTTGCCAACTTTTTGGCTACTGGTACCTTTCTCTGGGATTACTGAATTGTTACTGGTGAGAAAAATTTCGCTGTGGTGAAAGAATTTGGATATGGTATAATTTATCAAACTGACAAAACAGTACCGAGATCTTTCTCTTCTGTGATGGCCAGTTAACCACTTCATCAAAGATTACATGATCTTGATATCAAATATTAATTTATTTGTTAAATATTATAAAGATTGTACAGTCTCTTTTATGAATGCCTAAAGCATCAAAAGCAAAGCTTGTAGTCAAAACATTCTTACCGTCTCTTTGTTCAGGAGCCCAAAAGTCGAAGAAAAATTCTTTCTCTCCTGTGATACTCAAAAGTAAGGCAATAAAATCTGTGGATACAAAGATTAATTGATCTTTCTCTACTCTGCCTAAGACACCAAAAGTCAAAGAATCCTTCCCGTCTCTCCGTTCAGGAGCCCAAAAGGCTACAAGAAATCAAAGGAACAAGATTTATCCTGTGATACTCAGAAGCACGGCCACAGTTTGTGGATACAAAGACTTCATAATCTTTCTCTTCCATGTCTTAAGCACCAAAAGTCGAAACCTCCTTCCCGTCTGTCCGTTCAGGAGCCCAAAAGGCTACAGGAAATCAAAGAAAACGATCGTACGGGTGGGAACGGTGGGGAGACACTGAGTGCATTCTCCAGATTCGGGCGGGACTCAGCGCGACAGTCCATCCTCGGGAACCACCCGTCCATGGACAGATGGGCCGAGGCCGCCGACCATGCACACATGAAGGTAAGTTCACCGCCAACTTTGTTCTCCTGGTTCTCAGATGTGAAACAAACAAACAAACAAACAAACAAGAAACAATACTGTCACAAGTGCGGCGTAACAGCAGAGCGTTCGGGTCAGAACCAAGAGGTCCCGGGTTCGAACTCTGCCTTGTCAACGAGCCCTGGGTTTTCTCCTCAATCTGCTCTGAAATGTTTGAGAACCTAGGAAATGAAGTGGTGTGTGTTTGTATGTATGTGTGTTTGTTTGTTTGTGTGTCCATCATTGCAATCAGCTGCCCCCTTTTAACCTGAAGGGCTCTAACCCTCGTCTACCTACTGACTTCTGTTGTAACTGTTGTACAAATTTGGTAAGGGAAAAAAGGTTTAATCCTGAGCTAGTCCTTACCTCTCTTTATGAAAAGGCAGGGATGTTATTCATTTCACATTGTGTTACATTTCAAACTGACAATGTTTACAATGATTGCAGAATAGTGAATTCCATGGACATGGTCAAGTTGATTTGACAAACGGAAAACACATAATGTCTCAGTGAAGTCTGTCCCAGTCTTGTCTAGACTTTACAAGTGGATAGACCCCTAGCAAAAATGCTGATTTTGGAAGGGAGAAATTTACACAGAAGCCTAGGTAAATCTATAAAAGTACAGAAGTCTATAAAAACATTCCATGTCAGTGATCAACGCTTTCATTTTGAATTGACATCTCGTCTGTGATTGGCTAGCCTGTGTCACGTGTATGGAAGAACTCTCCTGTCATTGGCTAACACTACTAATGTAGTCATAAAGAATGCTCTTGCATTTTTTAACAGTCAGTCAAATGTTGTACCATACAGGGGAAAGGTTTGCTGCGTTTCTTTATGTTTCCATGGTGAGGGATATGGATTCTGAAATGTAAACAAGTTTGTTTATTTGTTTTGTCAGGCGGAGACGAGAAAAGAGCCTCTTGGATTGTCCAGTGATGACTCTCAGGAAAGCAGGTAAACTTTTACAGAATCACTTCAGATTATCAGTTTAGTATCTCTTTAGTATTTACATATGCCATCAAGAAAGTGATTTCTGGTATCATATCATTATTATTTTGATGTCATATGCATAATGCTCTGCAATATAATATAATGTAAAGGGTGAAAGAAAAGTGACAAAAATTCATCTTCATCTAGTTGAAGAAAGAAAATCTTTCAAATATTTCTGTTCAATCAACCTTTTTAGTTACGGCTTGACATTTGACATTAAGAAAATAGTACCAAAAGCAAGCTATGAATTGCACCCCATGTTTCAGAGTTTTCTCATCTAAAAGTAGAGCTGCTACAATTTCATTCTAGAGTAATATTCCTGTTATGTCATCAATCCAGTGTTTCCAGTGGCACCAACAAGTTAAACTATGCACAAGCCCTGTACTATCCCTTTGAAGTGTGTTGTCAATTTTAGCACAGTGCCAAATGTTAACATAATAATAAACATTGAGGGGCGTTCCTGGTGATATTTCAAGACAGGAATGTGTTATTTTTGTTTCGCCGCATGATTTGTTTGTTCTCAGATTTTTTTCATAAAAAGTACCCCCCCCCCCGGTAAGTATTAACAGGCCAAGGCATCCTGTTATTGCCCAAATACTACAAAAGAAGCCATGAAGGCTGGTTGGTAGTTCAAACAAAGAATTTTAAACTTATAATCAAACCACTGCATTGATAGATGGGAAGACTGTAACAACTAGGAAGACAAGGACTTTCTTCCTCAACTGTTTTGGGCCAAAATATGAGCATTTTGGAGTTGATTCAGAACCCGATTTCCTTTTTTTGCAAATGAGGAAAAACGAAGAAGGCAAACCCAAGAACCGATTGATGAAATTTGTATGTCCTTTTTAATATCAGGACTGGTGTGCCCACTTTAGCCCAGATACCATTTCCAACATTTCTGTCCAGAGGCAGTTTTGTTATCCATGGCACTTGCCTTGTTATTCTCATGAGGGGTATTGAAAGCAGAGCAGGAAAAATATGTGGTATGCAAGAAGATATTCTGATAACTTTACCTAAGGGGCCTCACCTGGTGCATGGGAGGTAGATTGTTGGCATGACTGAGGTAACCATAGTAACTACAAAATGATTGACATATCTTTACTGGAAAGCCTGTGCTCTCTTTGTATACCTAGATTACATGCATGTTCTATTGTAGACAGCTAAAGTTGAGGTTGATCTCCATTGAACTCCAACTCTCTCCTTGCAGTGACGGGTCCAAGATTGTAGACATTGACAACGACGGAGGCCCCCTGGGGATACATGTAGTACCTTATGTCGACAGCAGTGGAAGGTGAGGATAAAATACTAAACGTCTGTTTTTGTTTAAATTTTAGATACAAAGGATGGCATCCATACTAAGACAATGCAGGGCTCAAAATGCTGGGTGCACTCAAAATTGGAGCTGTGCACCCTATTTTTTTTCTGTAGGTGCATCAGTACACCCAAATATATTTTTAGGTTTACATAATATAAAGATATCTAATGTATCTTGACAGTCATGTAAATGTCAGAAAAATTAAGTTTTAGTTAAGTCTTTGTTGTGTACTAAGATTATTTCGTATAGTGCACTCAAAAAATTCCTGAGCACCCAAATTTTAGGCTGGGTGCACCTATTCCCAAAAGTGAATTTCGAGTCCTGCAATCATAGAGACAGAGAAGCAGAAAACAAGCACTAGAAGTAAATATGATTAAGCAAACAGCTGTATTCCCTCCCATTTAAGTTCTTAGCATTCTTTGCTGTCGGATGTTTAGAAATTGTCTCGACTACAAGCATGATGTACTGTTTGTATCCAGGTTTGACTGACCTAGCACATATTTTGTACATCTTTACAAAATAGTGGAGTGTTTCTCAGGCTCACAGTATTTAGAATAGATGGTTTGAATTTTTGTAGGCTCTTTAGCCTGGGTGCCAGACCCACAGCACACTAGGCTCAAAGTTATCCTGTACACACGATAACTTTGAGCGTAGTGTTCTGTGGGTCTGGCACCCAGGCTATAGGCTCTTAAAGAGTGACTTTCCAAAACTTGTTTGTAATTAAGCTAGTGCTAAGTTTAGTATCTAAACTATTGCAGAAACTTCGGTCTAAGCATCAAGAATGTGGAGGAGGGAAGCAAGGCTGCTCGAGAGGCAAAGTTGAACAACTTTGATGTCATAATCGAGATTAACGGAACTTCTCTACTAGACGCCACCTTTGACAGGTGTGTATGAGAAGCCAGGGGTAGTTTTAAGCCAAGTTGAAGTGCATAGTTTCTGAAATAATTGTACTTGTTAGCCTTTTGTAGTGCAAAGTGAATGGTTGTAAAACTAGGACTTTCCTAGAACAACATCACTATGGAATAAGCCACCACGTGATTGTTTGTATTCCCATATGGGTATAACCTTAAACTTTTCAAGTCTAAGGTCCACAGACATCTGTCCTCACTGTCTGCACAGTAACTCAAAGCATTTGAGTGGCTCTCATGAGCCTTGTTTTGTGGTGAACCATGAAGTAAATAAAAAAGAAAAAGAAAGGTACCATGTGCATGTGCAAAGCAAATGCATAATATTTATCTTCTCATCGTCTAGTCTAACAAACTACTGAAAAAGAATGAAATCTTTTACACAAATTAAAGATGACGTCAGCAAAATGTCCTGACAGCAACCTCGAAAGCACATTTGGGAAATCTTGTGACTCTTTTGTACTAGCATTGTTGGCATAGGAAGTGTATTTCTATACACTTTGTTTGCTGAGTATTCTTTGAAATGGAAAAGGAAATATATGTAGGGCAGACACAGAAAGAAAGACACTTGGAAGCAGCTTTATAATGTAAAACCATTCTCTTTCTTATGTGTAGAAAGAATAAACAGAATTGTTAGTAGATTTTTAGTTGTCAAAAGACACAAGATTCCCTTGAGAACACTTGAGTTGAGTGCTGATTTTTGTGCATTGTTGGTGTGTAAATCTCTTTCTTATTTGTGTGACAACGTTTTTTCCACAGAGCGCAGCAGATTTTCAAAGGTGCCATGAGCACTTCCGTGGTAAGTCTTCGCGTGTGCTCGGAAAAACCGGAATCTTCCAAGTTCTTCCCCGACCAACCGGTGGCCGAGGGGAAACCCGCGAAACCTCCGATACCGAGAAAACCGGACCTGTCGCTGCACGACTCTGGGGAGAGATCGCCGGACGAACCGATGACCCCGACCAAGAAAGTCCCGCCTTCTGTGCCGCCGCGTTCGCCGACTACGACTTTGTCCAAAACAAAACCTCTGCTGACGTCCCCGACAAATACGAGAAGGGTCGGCAAGAAAATCCACATTCAGTTAACCAAAGGTCGGTTGTCCACCAGCTTTTAATCCTGTTTTGTTCCTTGTGTCCAATTTCTTTTGCTTGAAATGCTTTTGTGTTTTGTTACAATCTTTGTTGTCAAAATATGGTCAAAGTCATGTTTTGCCAACACTTTGAACAGAAATGTATGTTTAGCTTATCCATAATAGCCTCTACCAGGCTTTGGCGAACTGTTGTCTCAACAGACAAACTCCCTTGGCATGCTTATCTCTCTATTTGGCCAATTTCTACTCTTTCCAGCTGCCTCCCCAAGCCTGGTAGAGGCTATATCCATAACACTGTTTGCTTCTTTCTCCTTCCACTTGTAAAGTTGACAGGGTACTATGGTACTGATCTGTAATTATGTACATTTCCTATGAATTTTCACCACTCTGGGAAGCAGCTGTTAAGCATGTACAACAGCTTTCTCTATAGCTATGTCTTGACTGCCATTTTTTCTCCCTTCTTACATGTTCCTACTTGCACTTCTTTTCACAGAGGGTAAGTCTCTTTACCAAGACCTGCATGCTAATAACTGAGCTACCGGTAATATTGTCCCAGCAAAAACAAAATAACTTCAGAAACTGTAATGCTTTTATAAGCACCTAGCACGTGTGTATGTGTGGTAGAAAAAGGCGTTGGAAAAGTCATTTGGTTCTTGATTGCTTTCCCATCAAGGCTGGTCACTTCATTCTGTTCACAAGTTTGGCACTTGCTTTTTTCCCAGCCTTCACAGTAACTTAATATGTCACTCTGTGTTTGGAAAAATTGTGAAAAGAGCAACAAAACTGGATTTACAACAATTTTTGTATCCTGACCAATTGAACATTTGTCTCAAAAATCTTTAAAATTAAATCTAATGAGAGATTTGTACAATTAATAATACAACTTCATACGTCACAAGTACACATGTAATATATGTTAAAGATATGATCACAGAGTGACTTCCACTATTTAGAGTGCGTCGGCAGAACATACTATGCCTGGATCTCTCACGGTTTGGTCAAGCTGTTGCATCAGAATTTTGCCCACTGCAGGCGATATCTTTTCTGACACTACATTTGAAAGCTATAGACGGAATATCATTCTTGAATACGTGAATCCAACCTTAAACGCAATGCTCTTGCAAAATGCTGTGTGCAATACATTGCAGGTTTCGAACAGGTACAGTACGTTCTGCCGATGTGCTATTTAGATGCTTGTCTGAGTCCCCCTTTTTTCACAACAACACTGCTTCGTTCCTTTTTCCTCACTTGCTCACTGGCTTCCAATTAGAATGTAAGTCTGCGTTTCTTTCCTGTGGTCTGTGTAATAGACTCACCCTGCTTTTGCTATGTAGATGGCATTCTCATGTAGTGCTGCATACCGGTTCACTGGACTTGGATCTGGACTTGTAAGAATGTTTAGGTTCAAGTCCAAAAAAACCTAAAAGTCAAGAACCGAGTCCGGACTCATTACCATAAAAGACCATTTCACATGCCCCTTTTCTTTCCAAACCACCTAAAACCTGCTGCAAAATGAAGAAAACATTGCCATCGGGCATCGTCAAGTACCGGCCTCCATTTTATGCGGCCAAAGTTTCACCCAGACAACATTACAAGGTTGCCAACATGTAATTTTGTATATGCCATGGGTTTAGGTCTGGACTTACAAGTCCGGAACTGAACCTAAACCTCAGGACTTGAATCCAGACCTGAACCTAAATGTGGGTTTAGGTATGCAGCACTATTCTCATTTAAAGTGAAATGTGCTTCATATATTTTGTATGAAATGTTTGTTTTGGCTTAGATCCTATATAAGAGAATGTATAGTGCAGATTTGTGAACAACAAAGAAATTGCTTGTTGTAGATCTATCTTTTGAAATAAGTTGTTTTACCGGTATTGATACAATGGTTTTCAACACATTCCATGTCACTCCATGAATACTACATGATTTTCTAAGCTGTTTTATTTAATGAACTGTTACCTGATCTACACAGAGAAATTCCATGCTTTAGTAGTTTTTTGCATACTGAATACCTGAGTATGCAAAAAGTAAGGTATGCAGGGCTCTCCCCAGAAATTTACAGCAAGGTGTTCACGTGCATGTTGGTTTTGTGAGATTGAAACTCAGCCCAAATTAAGAAGCAAATTTTGCCAAATGCAAGCAAAATTACCTAAATTTTAAAATACCATTATTCCAATAGGGAAAGCCCTGACCTTGGTTTGGTATTCGATACACAAAAAATTTGAAAAAAAAAAGGATTTCCCTAGAAAAGTTGATGTGCATCCAGGTGCAAAAAGGTTGAAACTCAGCTGAAAACAAGAAGCAAATTTTGCCAAATTCAAACAAAATTACCTAAATTTGAGAGTCAACTAGAGAGCCCTTCAAATTCGCCTTCGATACAAAGTAAGGGTTTCCCCAGAAAAGCGTACAATATGAAGAAGTGGTTTTCGTCCCCGTCTATAGGTATGGACGGTCTGGGGTTCAGCGTGACAACGCGGGATAACCCGACCGGACGGAACCCCATCTACGTCAAGAACGTGATGAACAAGGGCGCGGCTGTGGAGGACGGGCGGCTGAAGGCCGGAGACAGAATAATGGAGGTAAGACTCAAGGAGTTTCAGTTTTTGGGATGCCGTTTAGCCCTTAAGGGGGACCTGCAAGGAGGGGTCCCGACAACACTCTACGCTGAATTCAGAAACCTGTTGATTATGCTTTACGATAAATTCCAAGTGGCTACAACGCATTACGTAGAATTAAAACGGCAAATATGCTCTACGCAAAATGTGCCAATTACGCTCTATGTTGAATTAGAGCGGTCCGTCTACGCTCTACGTACAATCAAAATGGCCCATTTCGCTCTACGGAAAAGGGCTTAAAGGGCTCCTTAAGGGGCTAATCTTCCAGGGCTCCTACACCAACTACATACAGGTAGTACCATACAGAAACAGACATTTACAATTACATTTATCATACAGTATTTTAGTTTAGAACTGGTGCTAAAAAATGGTTACAGGGTAAAGGTAAAAAACGACCTTCTTGACTCCTACAGGGCTCAAAATACCAACCTACACGTATAACCTGCTTAAAAAAATGAGATTACAGATAAATTTGATAATAAACAACTCCAGCTTGGCAGAATACATCTTGAGTTATGTGAATCGCCAAGGACATGAATGAAGAATTTCGAGCCCAGATCCCATAACTTGATACCGTGCAATGTTGATAAACAGGAGGGGATATGTCAGCCATTTATGGGAGCTATCCTGGCATGTAAAACATGTTGCCATGCATTCCTGTCAGGCTGTATATCACCCATAATCATGTGCCAGTTGTGGGAACTTGCCATGGATCATATGTACCTACAATGGGAGTCGCTGGAAGACAGACGTAGAATGTCCAGACTCTGCATGATGTACAAAATGACTAATAAACTGGTGGACGTACCAACCACTAAGTATCTGATACCAGCCCAGAAAAAAAACGAGAAACAGTCATGCCTTCAAATATCAGTTATCAACCAAGAATTGAGGTGTTCAAAAACTCGTATTTCCCCAGAATTATCGTAGACTGGAACTCATTGCCACCAAGCACAGTAGGGGCATCATCGTCACTAGAAGCTTTTAAAAAATTCCAGCAATTAAATGTGCAAAGATTGAGTGTAACAAGTCGTTCGGTGTGATATAGCTAGCTGCCGCCGTGCTGCATGCCTGCGAAGCTTGTGTGTTATACCGAAGGGCGGTTATACCGGCTACACTGATACAGATACAGATGTATGTTCCCACCACTTGTAAAAACCTTGGAGGCCATCTTCTGGTGACCCCTGTGACCTCCACAGATGTTGGTGTAGGAATTGACCCGATTATTGATGTCATGTCACTGTAGGTTAGACTGAAGAGAACAGGTGGAATGGTAGAAATGAGTGGGAATGTTTTGTGTTACTTTGAGTCATCTTATACAGCTGTTCTGAAGCTTCTGCCATGTTTATTTTGAAAAGAAAAGTCTGTAGATTAATGTGGTGTTTGATGGCCCACAAGTAATGTTTTTTAGTCCCCTCACAACCCCCCCCCCCACAAAATTTACNGGAAAAA